CATAAGTATGTACATTCAAGGCTGTATGTACATATAGATGCAAACTTGTATGAAAACTCTGATGGAAATCCACACCATCATAAAGCAATGATGCACATGAGAATCCAGGATAGGTTTTGACGTTTACTGGATAATTAGTCTCTTTGAAGCTATTTATGAGGGAAAAAAAATTTCATGCACTTACAAGATCAGAGCTCCTTGTTTGCTCAGGAGAGACTGCAAAACATAATCACAAATGTAAGAGCAGTGACAAACTGATGGGTGTTGAAAGAGCTACAGGAGGCAAATATTCAGAGGTTTTCAAAAGGACTCGTGTGTCTGAGCAGCCTGAGCAGAGGGCAGGTTCTGGTCTTCTGCTGGTGTGTCAGCAAGTGCTGCATCACTGAGCGCTACAACTTCGGTGTGCAGAGAAATGTTTAGACACTGGCTCCACAGGGGGAAAGAGGCTAAGAAAGATCTGATAGATAAGAAAGCCTGGACTTAAACCTGAGCCTCCCCTGTGGTCATCTCCCATGCTGTAACACAGTGTTGCTAAGCTACCAAGGTTTTCTTCTAATTGTCCCGGTTGAGAAATTGGAGACAAAATCATCCTCTTCTTTTGTTTTTGGATAGCAGCAAGCATGACACAATCATTGTGACCACCAAGAAGACATTGAGACAGGGGTAGAAATGCTCAGCTATCAAAATATTGTACAAGAGAAATTGTTTGTGCACTCTGTGGGTATAAATGCCCTAAACTCATGGAGAATTAACCAAAACAGGGGGTTTATGTCTTCCAAAATTACTCTTGCACTTGGTTTCCAATCAATTGGCCCTGAATTTTGATTGTAGCCTGTTATTGTTCACACAACAATGTTGAAACTCAATACACATGTCAGAGTGATTTATAACATAAAAGGGCAACTTCAAAAATCACTGTTGTTTCTATTTTGGGGAAAATTTGTCCAAACAGTTGGATTTCCAATTCTGGAGAAACAAAAAAACAAACAAACAAACAAAAAAAAATCAAAAAGAGAGGATTGAAATACGTTCAGATTTCCTCATTGTCTTGCTTAGTACTTGATGGCTCATTGCTTACCTTGTAGTGGGATGCAAAGAATTGTTAACTGTTGTAGGTCTGAGATCTAGTTTTTTTTTATGTGTACATACAAATAGATAAATGATGGATGACAGGTAGGTAGATAAAAAGATAATTTCTTCATAGAGCTGCTATAAAAAGAAGTCTGCTAGACATCTGAGAAGCTAAAACACATACGGAAAATGGTCTAATTTAAGCGATTGAAACAATAGAAACTTCTAATGATCTGGTTGTATTTCTGAACCATATAAAGTTACCATTGTTTTCCTGGGGGCCTTGCCAGTTCCTTTTTTTTTATCTTTCACATTGATTTAAAAATCACATAATAATTCTGCATAACTTTAATTCATACCTTGAACCTAGAAAGACTTATATACATATTTAACTTGATTTGCTATTTATATAAAAATAACAGGCTCCTGGCCTTCATTATAAAACATCTGTCTGTCTCATGCAGTCAAGGTTATGTGCAAACTGTTAAACACAAATAGGAAACTCATCTCAGGTCCACTGGAGGAACCAAACTAACTTTATGAATGCCATCATATTTTTTAAGTGAAAAGAGAAGGAAATTTTCTTTTTGAGTTTATCCACTTACATTGTATGAACTCCTTGACACAGAGCCGAGTTAGAGGGAGGACATGTTTTAAAAAGAGGAAAAAATTTTCTAGATCTAGAAGACAAAACCATAGGTAAGAAAGCCTTGGATGTCAACCCTGCTCTCCAATGATTTATACACATGTCCTACAAGGTGACCACTCAAAGGGGTGGGTCTTTTTCTGCTTATGAAATTTATCCTGACAGAGTTTGATGTCTACAGCAACCAGGTGTGGGGTTTTTTTCTTGCAGTTATACATAAGGCAGGCCTAAAAATAACTTTGGGTCAATCAAAAACTTCCTTTAGTAAGACTGAGGCTTTTTAATTATTATTAATTTAAACCCTGTCATATTTTAAGAGTGAGCATTAAATAAGTAATTATTTCTATTGCTTCCTAAATTGAACTCAGTTTGAAATTATTTACATGGGGCTGCTTTAAATACATTTGTGTATGTGTATGCATATGTATACTCTCCAGAAGAAAAGAAATACAAGATAAAAAGAGCAAAGGCTCACAAAACACTTTTTATCACAAACAGAATGAATGTAAACAAAATACTGTTTTCTAGGAAAGAAAATCAAAAGTGATTTTTTTTTCTTTAAATATTTGGTTCCATAATTTGGTTTTCTATATTAATTCAGTCAAGACAATTATTTCATAGCCATGTGTCAGATTATTTCAAGGAGGAAGATGATGGTCAGTGGAGCCCTTCAACACAGAGTTCACCTGCCAAAAGTTCTCAAACCCAGAATTCTTCACAGGAAATGTCACTGGCAGCTCTGCCAAGAAATGTTGAAACAGTTTCTTTTTTGTTTCATTTGGATACAAAATGACAAAATGTAGCTCCAGTTGGGTGATTTAATTCAAACAAACAAGCTTTCCTTCCATGTCAAAGCGCTGATTGGAAATGACAATTCTTGTTTGGTTTCAATCAGAAATGTCAACATTTTCAGTGGGACATTTCCTATTTGAAAGTTTTTGAGTTGCATATTTGTTTAGGATGGGGGTGGGGGGTGTTCTGTTGGCCATCATTTGGAGAGCTTTTTGTGTATTTTATTGATTCGGTTTTTTCCTACTGATGGAGAGAAGCGTGAGGAAAGGACTCTGAGAGAAGGACGGGCACAGCCTGTTGTCTCTAAGCTCATCAGTTTGGGATTAGCAGGTATCCTGGCAGATGTCAGTGGTGCGGGGAGATCCAAAAGAAAGTGATGGCTTGGTGTAGTTTTTATCTAGGAGCTTGTCCCAAAAAGCATAAAAAAAACACACTGGGACTGAGGCTACATTCTCACCCATGTAACTGTGTCTGCTGAGGGTTTTTGAGGGCAACACTGGTGTCTCATGGGGCCCACAAATCTCTCCTACCCATCTGGTGTTAGACTGGGACCTGTGTTGTAGATCCATTGCTACACACTGCTTCTCCTAAGGAGACAGGCTGAGAGAGCTGGGGCTGTTCAGAATGCAGAGGAGAAGGCTCTGGGGAGACCCAAGAAGCCCTTAGAATACCTATAGAGGCTACAAGAGAGCTGGAGAGGGACTTTTACAAGGGCCTTGAGTGACAGGACAAGGGGGAACAGTTTCAGGCTGAAAGACAGAAAGTTTAGACTAGATGTTGGGAAGAAATTCTTCCCTGTGCATGTGGTGAGGCACTGTCACAAGTTGCCCAGAGCAGTTGTGGATGCCCCATCCCTGGAAGTGTTCAAGACCAGGTTGGACTGGGCTTGGAGTAACCTGATCTAGTGGAAGGTGTCCCTGCTCATAGCAGGGGTTTGGAACAAGGTTCCTTCTGACCCCCAAATTTCTACGATTCTATGACATAAGGAATAACAGCACACGAAGAAACCTCCATAACAGGTGAGGGTCAACCCAGTTGAACCCTGATTTGCACCAGTTGAACCCTGAATTGAGGTCACTCGGGATGATGGCCAGAAGTTACCATTTTTCCCAGAACACAGGGGAGAAACTTGGTGTACTTTGGGCCTTCTACAACCCTCTGGGACAGGGAACCCTGTGGCACCATCTCTGCAAAGGATCAGACTTGCAGAGGAACTCCCCTGCAATGTTACCTTCATCTGTAAGTACACTTCCACAGCTCCATCCCACAAGCCTTCCCTTTTCCAGGGGTTCCTCAACATCATCTCTGTGATTACTCAGTCAAGCCAACAATTTACTCTTGCGAGTAAAGGTTTGCCCAACTGGCAACCCTAAATGGCAGCGTCATCCAGACTGCTGGCAGAGCAATGGTGAGAAATGAAAAACCCAACAACTTGGATTTTGCACAGCTCTACTGACCTGGAACTGAGTTTGTGCTGTATTTTGGGCACTGTTACTACTCCATACCGAAAGGTGTGCCTGTGGTGGTTTTACCCCTTAAATTAGGTGTTGTGAATCCTTGCTTGTCTCGCCCAGCCCCACAGAGTGAATTCTCGCTGTGGTCTGAACATCAGTCACTGGACCCCAAAAATCTCCTGCATAGGTCGTGAGCTCGCGGGGAAAAGCATACAGCGAGGTGGGGGGTGGGTGGGATGGCGTGGGAGAGACTGAGCTTGGAGTGGGATAAATGGAATAAATACCACTGCCCTGAATCTCACCTCCTCTGCCTTTTCTCCCCTGCCCCCATCAGTGCTGCTGTTGTGTCAGGTAGTGGCACTGTTGAGTACATTAACCCAGAGCTGAGCATTGCAGCCACACCGAGCGAGTGTCTGCGTGTGTGTGTGTGTGTGTGTGTGTGTTTGTGCGCGCCTGATCATTACCATTTATTCCCCACACTTCGCCCCCCACCTTCCAGCACCCCCCCCACACACAACCCTCGCCCCCAAGTGCTGCAGGACTCCGGGAACGAGCTATAGAAATAGAGAGGGAAGAGCGAGAGGCATCAGCCCCCCAGATCTGCTTAACCAAATCACCGCCCCTTGCAGGGAGGAGAGAGGGAGAGCGAGGGGAGGGCGGGGGTGGGGGGGGTTGTGTTAGAACCAGACCAAAAAGACAAAATAAAAGACAGATAAAGGGAAAAATCCAGCGAGGGATCAAAAAGCCGCCCCCCAGGCGCACCCTTTGGCAGCGGGGAGGGGGATGAGCGTGTGTGTGTGTGTGCGCTGGGTGAGTGTGTGTGTGTGTGTGTGTGTGTATGTGCCGTGTGAGTGTGTGAGTGCGTGAGCACCGACCCCGGCCCCATCAGGAGAAGGGGGTGTTTTCCCTCCGCCTTCCCTTCGCCCTCCCCCGGCCCGGCGCGGGGCGGCGCGGGGGGAGCGCGGAGCGGAGCGGGGCGGCCGCAGCCCCGCAGCCCGCCGGAGCTCCGGCACCCGCTCCAGAGCCCAGGGAGCGCGGGGATAAAGGGAACAGCTTCCTTGCCGCCCAAGCAGCCCTTTTTCTCCTGGTGGGGCTTTGCTCTTTCTTCTTTCTTTTCTTTTTTTTTTTTTTTTTTTTTTTCTTTTTTTTTTTTTTTTTTTTTTTTTTTTTCTGTTTTTGGAAACTCCTCGCCGGGAAAAGCAAAACCGAAAACGCTTCATCCCCCCCTTTGCCTCGCCCCCCTGCAAAAGGCTCTCAAAGAACCACCGACAGCAACCAGAAAGCAAAAGAGGCCCCCCTTCAAAAAAGGAAAAAAAAATTAAAAGAAGGAAAAGAAAAGAAAAAGAGAGAGCACGAGAGACAAGCTCCATCGATTTCAAATCCAGGATTTTATCCAGTGCACTGAGGTTTTTTTTAATTTTTCTTTCCCTTCTTACCCCCTCCTTGCTTTCACCCCCCACCCTCAACCTCCCCCTTCTCCTCCTACACACCCCTTTTTTTCCTTTTCATTTTATTTTGGATCCTGCTAAAATTAGCCGGGACTGCTCTGGGTGTTGCGTGTTAATTTGATTTACTCCGGGATTCCGGCTTTCCAAGACGCCATTTTCCCCCTTTCTCGCTCTATCTCGTTCTATTTATCTACCCTTTATCTCGAGCTATCTCTCCGTCTGTCTGTCCCTCCATCTCCCTCTCCTCGGTGACTTCCTCCTCCCCCTGCCCTCCTCCCTCTGCGCTCTGCGTGCGCTGCGCGGCCGGGCGCTCCCCTCATCCCCATCTGACAGATGAACACCGCCATGGGTTTGCCGCAACACAAGCAAAAGCACCTTTGGGGGCTGTGGCGAGGGATTGAAACCGGGATCTAAAAGAGAAGAGACAAGAAGGGGGGAAATCCGAGGAAGGAGGAGGAGGAAGAGGAAGAAAGAAAAGGAAGCTGCTAAGAAGCCCACTCTGCCGTTTTGGGGATATGGGTTAGTAAAAGCGGAAAAAAAAAAAAAAAAAAAAAAAAGAGGAACAAAAATCCTGAGGCATCGAGGAAAGGTCTGTCTTGATGATCGGGATTGCAGGAGGGTCGTACCCCTCTCTCCTTTTCCTTCCACCCCCCCACTTTTCTTTCCCCCCTCTGCATGCAAAAGTTAACGTCGCCCTTTTTTTTTTTTTGTGTGTGTGTGTTGTGACTTTGCAATGGCGCGGAAAAGGCTTTATTTGTTTTTTGGGGTTTTTTTTGGGGGGAGAGGGGAATATTCCTCCTCAGTACAGTGCACGCGAATCTTCCTCTCCCCTCCGACCCCTTCTCTCCCCACGCTTTGTGCCCGTTTAGGGGGGGGGGGTGTTTGTGTGTGGTTGCGGGAGGGGGGTGGTGGCGGTGTGTGTAAAACCGTGCTACTGGGAAGGGGTTGGAATTTTTTTTTTAGGAGTTTGCATAATGTATTTATTCCCCCTCTTGTGCCCCCCCCGCCTCCTCCTTTTGTAGCCTATATGTGTTTATACGTGAAGGTGGCAGCTCTATGTGTGTGCCTGTGGAAATTGGAGGGACACACACACGACCCCCCCCGCTTCGTAAATTGCAGGTTAAGTGGAGCTAGAGAGCAGCACTGTAACCTTACGGGGATTTTGTGTGTGCGAGTGTGTGTGTGCGGGGGGCTCCGCGGAGCTGCCCGGGGCGCTGGAGTGGGGGGCGCCGCTGCCCCGGGGTGGCCCCGGGCTGGTTTTGACATTGAAAAGGACACGCAGCCCCGAAAAGGGGGCCATTTGCGGGAACAACGATGTGGGGAGGGGAGCGGGGTTAGTAATTAGGAAAGCGGGCCCCCTTCCCCACCTCCCCGTGTAATACCGCTTCTTAATAAGCCGGTGATTGCCGCCCCCGGGACCCCGGTGCCCCCTTTTCCCACCCCCCAACAACGGGTGGAAGTGGAGTTGAGCTACGGACTCGCGGAATACCGCCGGTATTATCTGGGGGGAAGGTGGTGGTTTGGGGAAGAGGAGGGGGTAGAAGGCAGGCGGCAGCCGCGGGCGGCTATTGTCAACCCCAGCCCTGGCGCAAGGCTCCTGCCCAGCGCCGGGCACTCGCACTCGCACTCACACCCCTTCCTCGCCGGGTTTTCCCGGCGGGCACTGGGAAATGGGGTGTCCCCCCTGCACCGCCCTTGTTTCCCCGGGTGTGAGTGTGTGTCAGCGTGTGTTGTGTGTGTGTGTGTGTGAGCGCGAGTGTGTCCCGCGTGTCTGCATCCCAACATCCCACCATCCCACCCGGGCACGGCGGTCCCCGCGCTGCCCCTGCCTGCTGTATTTATGTCTCCGAAAGGCAGTTGAGAGAAGGATTTCCGATTCGTTTCCGCTTCAAATAAACGGCCCCGATAATCCCGGGCCTGACGCCTGATGCTCAAAGGGCACTTGGCCGCCGGGAGCCCAACCCGGGGAGGCGGGGCGGGGGGGGGACAGGGCACACCCGGCTCGGCCACCCCGCGGTGGGCAAGTCCCCCAGTCCTCGGGAGGGGTCGATGGGGGTGCTTCAAGCGTGGGGGATGCGCATGGGGGATGCACGGAGAGAGATGCGAGGGGAGCACCCACCCATTCTGGTACCGAGGGGTGGCGGTGTCCCCGCGGCTGCCGTGAGCCGGGCTAACCCAGCCGGGCTCTGGGAGGAGTAGGAGGATGGAGGGTGGAGGGTAGGAGAGCCTGTTCTCCCCTCATTCAGAGGTGTTTCATTAGCCATTGGTCCCGCGGTGGCCCTGCTAGGCGGTGGAGGGGACCTGCCGTGTGTGCTTCTGCATCTCTCTGTTACACGGCAAAGGATGAGTGGGGCGAGGGGAGTGCGGAACCGGCCAGTGCTCTGCTGTCAAAGGGAGAATCCGAGCCTCCTGGTAGTGATGGAATTGTTCCAGGAGGGAAGGGTTGCTGGCAAATCCGGTCCTGGGTGGAATATTACGGGCCCAAATGGGAACAATTACTGATTTGACAGCCCCTGCATCCAGGAGTAACTTGGTGCAGGCTACAGAAATGGTATAATCAGGTGTCTAGTGACAGGCAGTGACAGCATGAACCTCAGGAAACAAGCGGACCTTTTATTGTAGACAGCAAAAAAAATATTCCTATCAGAGAATTGTAGAATCACAGGATGATTTGGTTGGAAGGGATCTTAAAGCTCATCTTGTTACAGCTCCCCTGCCATTTCACTCCAAGCCCAGGGTCACCTTCCACTGGACCAGGTTGCTCCAAGCCCCATCCAACCTGGCCTTGAATGCTTCCAGGGATTGGACATGTTCATGGGGAAATGTGCAAGTGGCTGCTTCATGCACAGCTTTCTGCACTTCCTTGGCCTTTCCTGAGATTCCTCCCCTCGTCAGAAGCTCCTTCCACTCAAAGGAGAAACTTTTTTTCATCTCCATTTTTTTTTTTTTTTGGTAGACAAGAGGAGAAAAACCCCTCCACACAATGGAGTTGTACTTTAATCTCTGCTCTTAGTTCAGAAAGGTTATGTAAAAAAGGGGAGGCGAGGGGGAAGCAGAAACACTCAGTGAATGGAGACTTCTCTTCCATCTCTTATTGGCTTCAACTTTTTTTTTTTTTAACTTCTCAGACTCAAAGTTTTAATTGAAACCAGAAGTCTATTGAGAAGTAACTGAGCCAAGAAAACCTCTGTTTTCTCTGCAACTAGGGATAGGGAATAAATAATTTTTAGCTGATGTTATTTCAAGTTTTGATTCCTGCCAAAAAGCCCAGCATAGATTATTAACACATTATCATTTTAGGAGGATGAACTCTTTGAAATGCAATAAAATGGTGTGTTAGGTTTGTGCAGAGCCATAAACTATGCTGGTTGTTGGCAAACAAAAGAAACAGTGGCCATGATTTACTATTAATAATGATCTTAACTGAGCTATTTAGTTCAATTTGATATTTACTGTGTTTCTCTACTGAGGTTGCTCAGTATTGTTTCCAGTGTACTTTGATTAAGTTGGGAACTGTTCTTGTTTAACAACTTCTATTGCCGTGTACTTAACTAACTCAGGGAGTTAAATGCTTAAAAAGGTTCAACAATCATTTTTTGGCTTCTGATGCTGCCTAATCTCCTCTTATGCTCTTTTTTGACCCATCCTTTGAGCTCTTTTTCCCCAGCACACACATCTCTTAGGTACAAGTGCTAGCTTACCAACAGGACTCTTGCTTTCTATTACAAGATTTGGTTAATCCCAGTTTCAGTGACTTTTTTTTCCCTACTCTCAGTAGGGCTGAATTGCTCACATATAGTCTTTCCCTTCTGTTTTCTTTCCCCTTTGGACAACACCCTCCAGGACTGAAAAACTCTTGCCTTCTGCCCTGAGACTTGCAATTACACAGCAATTTTGACTCTTGACCCAACTAGTAGCAAGAAAGGCTATTGTCTAATGAACCACGTAAAAACAGTTCTGGGATCCGACAGATTGCTGTGATGGAAATGAATGCTGTCCCAGTGAACTGATGACTGATTTGCTTAACCATATGCCTAGGAGGTTTTCCTTTCTCCCCATTAACTACCCATCTCTGGAGTATCTGTGATCTCTTGGTCTGTGATGATGCTGGAAGGCAGCATTAACACCTGCCAAAATGTGCTCCATGGATGCACGTAGGGGCAGGTTTTAAGCCATGTTCAGAAAGTGGGGAATTTTTATTTTTGCCCACCATAACATGCAGGCACGCAGGGTTCTGGACGTGTAACTGCTGTGACTTCAGCACGGTTTTGGTGATGAGACAAGGGCAGCAAATGGGTGCATAAAAATCATAAAATTATAGAGTCATGGAATGGTTTGTGTTGGAAGAGACCTTAAAGCCCATCTAGTTCCAACCCCCTGCCAAGGGCAGGGACACCTTCCACTAGAACAGGCTGCTCCAAGACTTGTTCAACCTGGCCTTGAACACTTCCAGGGATAGGGCAGCCACAATTTATCTGGGCAATCTGTTACAGGGCCTCACCACCCTCACAGCCAAGATTTTTTTCCTAATATAGTTGACCTATAAAATAATAGGTGGTCAGACGAAATCCGCAGTAAGATCAAGCCTCATTGCTGGGGAGCCCAGGCACTCTCAGGGCAGCACCAATCCTAGGATCAGAGTTAGACCAAAGCCTAGTGAGAAAGGCAAGAGTTTGTGGGACAATCTTAGTGGAGAAGGTTTGCAGTGTTTTGCTGCAGGGCTTGTGGTTTCTACTAGGACTGGTTTTGCTGCTATTGTAGGAGTTCTGTTCTCACTGCTTTCTCTCTTTCCAACTTGATAAAAAAGAAAGAGTTTCCTTTCCCGTTATTCTTGTCGGGGAAATAAAATTACTTACACTTTTAGGAAACTGTCATCTTGATTGAAGATGGACTTTAAAACCTCTCGATTCCATGTTCTAGCCTGGGGGGACTGACAGATCTGAAAGCGATTTCCAAACTCTCAAGGTTGGGACTGCCCTGCCTTCTGATAAGGGTATGAAATCAGGTTCCAAGTGTGTGTGGTTAACAACACTTAGAGACTATTTCTTTCTCCTTTTCCCAGTGTTAAGGCTTCACTTGATGTGGTTGCAAGAGCTCATTGCATTTTTGGACCTGTTTAACAATCTGCTTTATGCTGGGACCAAGCACAGCTCTGCAACAGGCACCTGAATTCTGAATTCACATTTAACTGATCATACAGAGTACAAAGTGAGGGTGATAAACAGCTGGGGCAGAAAAGGAAGACAAAATAATGTCTTAAATTGAATAAAAGCAGTCAGAGAATAATACATTCTGTCTTTCAGAGCTGAGGAAATGTGTGAAGGAAGTAGTGGGTGCTAATTTCTGTTTATCAGCTCTTGAGAGAGTGAAAAGTTAGGGACTATTTTGCTTTTTTGGAATTGGATTTACTTTGGAGGACACATTGTCCAAATGCAATGATGAGCTGCGGAATGACTGGGTATGAAAAGAAATCTTCCGACATTATTTCATTTAGGCTTTTTTCATCTTTTGGGTCTCTC